ATAAAGCAATGGCGCCAGCTACTTCTTCGCCTCTAATACCTTCCTGTTTCCATCCCCTAGTCACTCTCCTAGAAAGGCGGCGAGAAATTGGGGCTGTTCGTCCTTATAGATCGTCTGTGGCTGCGGAAATCTTGAGCTTTCATGTGAATGCATACCTCGATGCAGGGGTGACCAGCTGGAGAAAATATGCTATCCGAGCTGAACAGGCCGGGCTCGTGGAGCTCGGTAAATTCAGTTCTTCAAGTGCATGGATCTCTCTTCGAAGTTGAAGATTGATCGCAGTGCACCTTTTCTGCACAGGTATCCCAGAGTGTTTCAACCGATCCATCTCGTAGCTATGGAGGTGCATGCTTAGTTGTTGTAGGTGAGTGCACACATTTACAGCGAATGTTTCAATTCTAATACCCTGCGATTTTTCAGATAGACATCTTGTATGGCCAACCACCCAAATAAAGAACTGCTTGAGAACTTGTTACGATTGTTCTGCTCACTCGAAACGTGGTGCAAACTTTCCTCGTGCCCTCACCAGATATGGTAATTCGTCCGACGTTTTACAGCGCTTGCCACCATCCCTGCAACGTGGATACGGCGCGGCCTTCAACACGCCTATGGAATTCACCCAAAATGGGCGTTTCAGCCCTTAACGATCAATCTGCTAACCATCTCGGAGTCTCAGGCTGTCTACTCGAGGCTTGCTGCAGGACTGCATTTGTGATTGATCACTCCTTGTAACTTACCACGATGGCCAGAGAGTCTGTGGCGGTATTTTGGGACTACGGTACGGCATGATATATACTGCTAGACTGCCTCACTAACCCCATTGCTCGGCAGAGAACCTGTCTCCCGCCGGCAGTAAATGCTCAGGTTTTGATATCGTTAAAAACATAACTACGATTGCTCACCAGTATGGGGACGTGAAGCTCCTCAAAGCATACGAAGAATGCCATACCAATGCTGGCGTCCACACTCAGAGGCTACGCTCCGAGTTGCAATGCGCCGGGGTATCGCTGACCGATTGCCCTCACAATGGAAGGAAAGAGGTCGCGGACAGAATGTTGACCGGTACGCGTGTTTCACCCTGCGCTTAAGACGACTGATACTCAATTGAACCACAGTTGATCTGCTAGCTTTCGCCATTGACAATCCGGCACCAGCAACCATCATCTTAATCACCAATGACCGTGATTTCGTTTACGCCGTATCAGTGCTCCGGCTGCGCCGTTACCGTGTCATTCTCGTGGCGCAACCTTCCGGCTCGGCCACCCTCAAAGCTCAAGCATCCATGTGGTTGGACTGGAATCTCGAGATACTTGCGAAGAATCCGTTGAGGCCAGAGAGTTTAACACGTGGCGAGTCCGACACGTGTACCAACGCCGTCCTACCCACAGCAGCAGCTTTGCCAACACCCCCTCCTTCTCCGACTCGTCCTCTCCACACCGCAGCATCGTTCGCTGTCATCTCAGGTTCAGCCAGCAAAGACGTCGATGGCGTAACGGAAAGCAGCTTTGATCTACCTTTGACATCGTCCAATTTGCCGGAAGTCCACGTTCCGGCTCCATGTTCTGCCAGCAGTGGCAGCTCATCGCAGTGTGCACAGGCCTTCGGGACACCGGAAACCATTGATGCTCCGTTGACTGTTGCTGCGAGCGAGTCAGGGGCTACTGCCCCACCCTTGGTTGAACGCCCCGAAACTTCCCCAAGCCCGAACACAGCTGAGATCGCTCTTCAGGAGCAACACGGAACTCCGCGCGGTTCTGTTCGCACTATGGCCCAGAGAGTCCAACAGAAATTTTGGGCCGCCTGCCGCAGAATCACTACCTTCCACCTGCCAAACAAGCGCAATAAATCTGGCAAGCAACCTCCCAAGGTTGTTCCTTTCAGCGAGTCTACCACTGATGGGATTCTCACGATCCCAGCAAGCGCAACAGCCACCGTAGATGAGCCCTTCAATGCCCTTCAAGCAAGTGATACAAGCATTACCACCCAGTTATCCTATCCCACAATAGATGCAACACGCATCCCCACTCTCCTTCCTTCCACGTCCACGTCCACCGTCGACCATTCTGTGGACACAATGGTGACCATTAGCGCCCAGTCACCCTGTCCCACAGAGCATGCCACGTGTATACTGCCCGCTGTCCTTCCTGTCACGTCCACGTCCACGTCCACCACCAACCCTTCCGCGGACGTGTTAACATCGTCACAAGATGCTGCGCAAGTGTCGCGCGAGCCCTCTGAACATCCAGCAATGTCGCACCCGGGGTTGAGTTCTGAACTCCACACCGACACTGGCGCTGAAATTGGCAGCTCGTCGAAGTGCTCGAGGTCTCAAACTTCTCAGGCTTCTGAAGCAGTGAAAGAGGAAGCCTCTCTCATCACTCCTGCAGCATTTGTTGTTGTTCTTCCCTCGAGCTTACCTTCCTCTAAACGTTCGCCTCCCCCTCCTCCAGCGGTGTGTCGAGCCATCACCCGCCCGGCCATTGTGCCGGTGGTACCCGCCCGGTTCAAGTTGTTGGTGGTGGTGCTACAGAAGGAACGGCGCTTAGGAAATTTGCGCGTCAAATTCGCTCGGGCGGCGGAGGCTTTCAATAATGCTGATACCAAAGCGTATCAGAAAGCAGGCATCGATGGAAAGAACAAATTCAAAACGCTTGCTCAATTGGCAGTTTCCGCAGGAGTGGTAACATGCAGTGTCGGGAAAACGTCTTACATCGCTCTTGCAGACCCCTATATCGGCATTTAGGATTACATTGGTTATATAGTGTTTGGCTCTTGATTCGGCTTGGGGCGTATGTGACCAGTCGTAGTATCATTTATCTTCAATATCTTGGTGTAGTAGTATAATTGTATACGTATGTCCTTGCCCGTACATTATAATTATTGGGTACATGTTTGTTATATCAAGTGCTTGGCCAGAAATTCAAAAGCCTTCGCATACAAATCTTCCACACCTGGAAGCAATGTGCTTGTGCCCTTCACTACGAGTCCATGATCCCCACCCGAAACAATAAACAACTCGCTTTCCACCCCAACCTTTTTCAGCTGCTCATGCGTGTATTTGCTCTCATTCACCGGTACGAGTACGTCGGCGTCACCGTGGATGAATACCGACGGGGGGAATTGGGCAGTGATATGAAGTTGGGGAAACAACTTGGCAACAATGGAGGGGATCGCCGCCTCGCGTTCGGTGTTGGGAAGGACGCTCAGCGTCTCCGACAGTCCGGCGATGCCAGACAGATGGTCTACGAATTTCCCTGTTTGCAAAAACCATGCGAATAACACCATCCGGTTCAACGCGTCTGTCGTCTCGCCGGTTTCGAGATTTTGGGTGAGTGCTGATCCTGCAATTGGGTCTGGAGCAGGGTCGTAGAGGTGGGCCACCGCTTCCTGGGTCAACATAGAACCTAGCCAGGGAATAGGCTCGGACTTGACGGACAGGTAGTCGTCTGACAGCCATTCACCGCCCATACCGTAAAGACTGAAGAATGCGACGGGCCGTGGCTCTGCGTGGATGGCAGCTTGTCGCGCGAGATATCCGCCTGATGATGTCCCAGACACTGCGATTCTCGAAGCGTCAACCTTCACTCCTTTCGGAAGATGTGAATTGACATCGGTAGCTAGGAATCGGAAAAGTGACAGGACGTCTTCGAGCTCATCGATGCCAGTGCAGGGATGTAGCAGTCGGTAGTCAGGGGATATGTATATGATTCCTTTCGCATTCGCCAGCTCTGTGTGGAAATCAGACACGGGAACGAAATGAGCACAACTGTTCAACCAGGCCAACGTACCTATCATCCAGGTACAATTTCCAGTCCCTTTTGTGGCGCGATCGCCGATGACTAGGCCACCGCCGTGATAGCAGACGACGACCGGCATGTTGCCTGTCGCACTAGGGGGCAGATAAATATCCACCTTGAGTTCAAGGTCATCCACTTTGGAGTATACCAATGTCAGAGGCTCAGAGGGCGTAGTCATTGTGGTGGTAAAGAAGATGATAATCAAGATGATGTTCCGTAGCAATGACTAGCAATATATGTCCGCACCAGCCTTGAGGGCAGGACTAATGTTAGACAGTCCCCCACTGCAAAGACCGAACGGAGGACGTGTGGGTGCCCATCGCATCCACTTGGGGCCCGGTCGGAATCCTTTACTTACCCGTTGGCCATCGGCTGCACGTTGACGCCACGTCAAAGCAAGCAGGTAGGGTTTGTCGCGTTGATGGCGCGTGAAAGCTCTGCGAGGTCACTGGCTGCTCAGCGCTCAGCGCTCAGGCCTCAGGTGCGAGATCGCGATCTGAACAGTGCCAAGTCACTGTTAGCTTGGCCGAAAATATCGCAATGCATGTCGCCCAGAAACTTTGAGGTCCTCAACGAAACTATACCGATCAGCGCTGAGCGATGAGCGCTGATCAAGAGTCTAGATCTGCATAAGCAGTGTATAATTAGCATATATATGACAAATGAAAGGGTAGAAGAGCACATGTACGTGTCATAGCTGGCGACTTTCTCAGAGGCACATTAGCAATGACAAAAGAATACCAGAAGATGTAGACGACAAAGCGAAAGCCCGGGGCCGTCGATGGAGGAAATTTAAATGCTTCCTGTCAGTCTCGTGTCAAACATTACGCGTTATTCGAGGCTGTTATTCGTTATTCGGCACACCAAGATGCCTGCAGCTGGTGCTGAAAGGAAGCCAGCACGAGGGAACGAGTAGATCTTCGCAATGACTTGGAGCTTGCCAAGGGTCCTCCCCATCTCAAAAACTTGCGAATATCAGAGTTCTGCCCACAGGAGACTAGAGTTGGCCCAAAGTTAGTTTACTTACCTTTGGTTCCACAATTCAGAAGTTGGCAGAATTATCATCTGCTCATGACTCTGCTATCAAATTCGAACGATCATTAACCAGAAGGGGAAAGGTCTGACATTCAAAAGAGCAGTTGATACCAGTTGATACCAGTGAGGTTGAGTGGTGAGAAACATCGTTGAAGAGTGCAAAAAGTGCGTCACCTGAGCGATTCGAACACTCGCGCTCAATGAGCAACCGCTAACATACTATGAATAGCAGGCGATCCCGTTAACCACTCCGGCAAAGTGACTTGTAGGTTGCTCGACTTCGGGCAACTAAGTTGGCAAAATACTTCTAGGTTGGCAAAGTACTTACTCGGACCGGACCGGGACTGTCAATGACTCTGACTCGTCGCCCGGTGCAATAATCAACTCATCTTCTGAGATCTTCTGCTGTGATGAGCAGCACCAACCTCTGGTCCGAGACGCCTCTCATCCGCTCATCGCACATTTCTGACCTCCTCAACTGCTCCGCCTACCTCAAGCTCGAAGTCCGTCGCCCCTATCCCTGTTTGCTCACCAGTTAACACCTCGTAGAATCTCCATCCATCCCAATCCTTCAAATATCGTGGCCTCTCTCACTTCGCACAGCACGCTCTGGCCGCGCATGGGCCATCCGTACACCTGATCATCGCGTCTGGCGGCAACGCAGCCCTTGCAGTCGCCTGCGCAGCGCAAGTCCTCGGTGTCCGATGCACCGTTTTCATCACAGAAGGCGCGAGCGCCGCGATCCTGGCGTTCCTCGAGAAGCAGGGCGCGGAGGTCGTCATCACGGGCAAATACTACACGAACACTCTCGCAAGCGCGGAGGAGGCCGTCAGAGCCGAAGAGGACGCGTGAGTCCTGCCTGTTGACTGGGCAAAGAAGGTCAGACTGATTGTTCGCATCGGTAGAGTGATGGTGCCCGCTTACGACGATCCAGTGGTATGGGATGGTCATTCATCGATGATCACTGAGATTCACGCCCAGCTCCCCAGGAAGCCAGACGCGATCGTCTGCTCTGTAGGCGGGGGCGGGCTGCTCGGCGGTGTCCTCGTCGGGTGCGCCAATGTTGGTTGGGATGACGGTATGGCTGCTTTCCTCCTCGCCAGACAGCAGCATGCTCATCCACCGGCAGTCCCCGTAGTCACGCTCGAGACGCACGGCTCGAACTGCTTCTATCAGTCAGTCGGGCTCAACCCGGGCAAGTGGAATGTGGCAGCACACCTCCCCCCGCACGTTGAGGCACTGCACGACCCCAAGACAGGTGTCGCACTCGCACTCCTCAGCGCCCTGCCCTCGCGTGCGACGTCGCTGGGTGCTTCGTCCCCCGCGGCTGGTATCGTGCGCCTCGCGCTTGATCGCGCCGGCGAAATACGGTGCTTGTGCATACCGGACGAAATGGCCATGCAGGCCGTGTGTAAATTTGCTGGTGAGTGCACATTTACGGCGTACGTTCGCTTGTGCGGGGGGTGGTGTTTAATATGGCGTGTAACACAGAGGACCATAAGACGCTGGTGGAACTCGCGTGCGGCGTAACGCTCGCTGCAGCGTACAGTCCATCACTCCTCCGTGCTGCCCTGCCCTCGCTACCGCCGGACGCGCTCGTGGTGTTCGTCGTTTGCGGTGGATTCAAGATTTCGCTTGCCGAGATCGCAGAATATTCCACGGTCCCGAGTAGCAAGTGGGAGGCGGTGTGTGACGGGGAGACGGTAACCATTGAAACTTGAGCACTGAGCTTAGAAAGGAGAGTGGGGGAATGGGCATTAGATGTTCCGCTATACATTACATTTTGAATTCAGATGTAGACCTCGACTGAGGATCGTGTTTGGGTTCGTTAGCGCGGCGCGGTGCAGACAGCGCGGAAGCAGCATACCAGCATAAAGTACGACGTTAATCCCACTGTCTCGCATGCTCATCATACCGGGTACTCGTCGCATCATACTGCATCTCCCTCTCCCGCCTCACGCTCAGCCTTCTTCGCACGCCGTTCAGCCTTGATGCGCGCGAGCGCCTCGCGCAGCTCACCGCTCTCGGTGGGCACAACCTGTTATCCCAATCAGCCTTATTCGCTCGTGCCATAGAAATGTGTCAAGCAAGGGGCTCACGCGATTCGTATTCTCTACCGCTGGAAACAGCTTTGCTTGGTACTGCCGTCCCGGGACCACCCACATCAGTCCAATTCACACCTGGAAAGAAACCGGATACTCACAGGGAGGACGTTGGCACGATACCACTCGGGGTCGCCAAAGTGCAGCAGCGCGAATACGGGGACGAAAAGGTACAGCCCAAATTTCGCGACTTCAAGGTTCGGTCCGCCCATGACTGTTGTAAATAGATCGAGAGGCGAGTTAGGGGTTATGTCATTCAATCCTTCCTGAGTCCTCACCACCGTTTTGCCACCGCGCTCAAGTCATATTTCAGTTTGTGACTAGTATGTACATAAGAACTGATTCGGAAGAGCCGGCACTGGCACTGGCATGGTGAAGGCAACGTGGTTCCGTAGTATTTGACGCTACTGCACATCGTGTCCATCTAAACTAAACCCCTGCATCCCGCTGGCCTCTCAAACTACCTCTTCCGCAACATGTTCCTTTCAAGGTGTGTGTCATATCTTTGCTGAGTTCTTAGAGCCCCAGCTGATGAACACACACTCAGGACTGATTCTCGCCAATAGACATGGACACCGGTGTTTCAGAGCAGCCAAAAGGCATGCTTGAGTCTCGGGTGTCAGACGATGTTCTGGTCGAGATATTTCTTGCCCTGAGCGCTGTTACTCGGAGGGCGGATTATTGGGCACCGTCCCCAGGGCCCATCTTACTTGGGAGCGTATGCAGACGGTGGCGCGCAGTCACTCGCTCTTCACAACTTCTATGGGCAAGCATTCGCATCAACATCAATCACCCCTCCAGATTCGCTAGCGCGCTGGATATATTCCGCCTCTTTACTACCCATTCTGGCGTATGCCCGCTCGAAGTATCAATCACTTTTAGAAACGAGGAGGAAAAACATCACATGTCTAGCGTCGACATGGAGCAGTGCCAGTTATTGGCCAGCGCCCTGGCGGCGTCGGTCGAACGTTGGCAGCATTTCCGCACAAACAGCCACCCATCCTTCCTTCGGAGAATAGAGCAGGCAGTCGCCGAGAGACCTTCATCCTCGACACGCATCCTCGAAACGCTGTGGATACAACCATACTCGCGCGAGGGAGAGACTTGGCCTGACCTGGGCCTGAATGTCCATACAACACATCTGGACATGTTTGCTGCCTCTCCGAAACTTCGATACGTCAGTCTTGGGGATGGTTATAGTTTTGAAGGGGACGACCTACCTATCCGACTTTCGTGGCAGCAGATAGAACGCTTGGACATAGCAGCCTCCTTCGAAGGCTGCATTCAAGTTTTTCGAGATTGCCCAAAGCTTACCCGATTTTCTGTTGCGATGGCTCAGGACTGCGGCGTGGAAGGGGGCGTAGATATTGTACACCGCTCCCTTCGGTCCCTAGAAATGTGGGTTGACGATGAACCGACCTTTGATTGTTTCTTCAAGAGTGTCAAACTTCCTTCATTGCTCGACCTCAGTATCCATTTTGACTTGGCATGGAACGCCGACGAATCCCTAACGCAAGAGCGGATCACCGCATTTCTGCCCACATGTTCCAAGTTACAGAGACTTGCACTTCGAATATACGAAGTAGTGCCTGAAGATTTCCATGACATTCTCAGGGCCGTTCTACCAGGTCTGATGGAGCTTGAAATTTGCCACGAGGTGGACGAGGCTGCGACCATTTACACCAACCAGTTGCTGGAAGAACTCACCTTCAATCATGGTCGCCAGACCCCCGCGCTGCTACCCAACTTACACACGCTCAGTCTACTGGGAGAGGGCCTCAATATGGACCCTGCTACGTTTACCACCATGATACGATCGCGAACGAAGGAGAACGTCGATGGTCAACACGGTGCGCTGTTGCAGTCGTTGTACATTCACATCGTGAAAGATACAGAATCGATCAAACTTCAGGACCTTGGAGAGGTCAAGGCTATTCTGGGAGATAGAGCGGACATTCGGATGGTTGCCTTTGCACCCATGTACCAATCATCAGCATTTCCCGATCTCTTTGACAATGAACATTGAATATGCGGAACGACCGTACTTATGATGGTGACCTGCCTCTGTATGTAGCGGGCTGACATGGTCACCAAACCTGCTTAATTTATGTTCTCACGGCGCTCAATTAAATACTCTAATTTAGCCATCGAGGCGACTCAAAAGGAACGGGTGATAGCTGCAAGAATCCATTGGTGAGTGCGTGAATCAAAAATCTAGCAGTAATGAAGGAGTGCTTGAAGTTAAGACCTACATACTCCTGTATAACCTGAGCATAATGACACTGAGAGGACCCAGGCCGCCACAGAGCAAAACCTCAGCAAAAATTTGCCAAATACAGGCCTCCCCAGCGGCAGGATACGATGGGATATGGTTCGTATTTGGTAGACATGCTCCCGCACAGAGCGATTCGGAGGCAGGGGAGAGGGAGGGGCTAGAAAGGGTGCCGCGTGCTGGCAAGACGTGCACGCGGGACATGTGGGTAAAGCTGAACGGACATATGTGTGTTTGAAAGAAATTGTACGACGTGTCAATCTAGCATTCGAGAGGTCATATATTTTGAGAAGAAAAGCATGTCTGAATCGACATATCGATTAACCCCCACGGACTGTTCAACTATTAGCATACGGATATCTGCGCTGTATAAAATCTATGATAGTCCCCTTAGGAAGCGGTATGAAATCCTCTGCATGCCTTGTCGTGCAGCGACCGGGTTTGAGAATTGGAAGGATGGCGGTGGGGCGGGACCTTCCTTCCTTCTACCTCGCACTGTTTTCCCTCTTCTTCTTATACAACGCGCTTCGAATAGCCATGGCCTCTGGATTGGATGTCCGAGGCTGAGCTGCTCTAGCAGCAGCGCGTCGCTTCACGGCCTTGAAGTTGCTGTCCCTCCTAGCAGGTGCACACGACGAGAGGGCTGCGCTACCGGGGCAGAAACCAGCGTCGTTGTCCGTCACGAGAGCACCAGTAGTCTGCAAGGAAATTAGCATGGAGCCTCCAGATAATCGAGGCTCGGGGCTTACATCGTTGTAGTCGCAGTAGAAATCATCGGAAGACTCGCCAGCGAAAGCGGGATAAGAGCAGAAGAGGATACCATTGGTGTCGCTGGTCTCGCCGAGTGGAAAGCCGGCTGCGTCACTTGCGGGGCATTGTGCCACACAGC